GGCAGCGGCCAGTAAAGGGCGCTCCAGTCCACCGGCTGGAGTGGCGCCGCGGCGAGCAGCTCAGCTGCCGGTGTGGTCATCGCAGACTTCAGTTGCTCACCGGAGGATGGGTATATATGTATGTGGAGGGAAGTTGGCATCGAGTGAAAAGCTATTGGCATTGAAGTGAAATGGACAAGTTCTACAAGTTCCCTCTAGAGCGGTGAAAAATTCGGGCACTAAAAGTTGTTTAACCCCAACGCCTGCGGGATGCGGGGATATTGCAGCTTTTCCCATGTTTGTTTTCGGTTGACCTCATCGTAACGTTATCACGTTAAGTGTTGCTGTTTGTCTTGTATCGTCGCTGTGAGCGATTCCATATTTGATTGTTGCAAAACATGCAGTCATGATCGAAAAAGCACTATTTTCTCTCGTGTCTTGTGTTTGGGCCCATATCTTTCAGAATTGGTACAGAATTAGGAGGAAAAGTTCGAAAAAATGACAGAAGTGTAGATAATTAGATGGCACAACTGTCAACGCCTTTATCTCAAAGATGTATTTTTTGCGTTTGTTGGGCACAATCCTCAGAACTAATTCAAATTTTTTTTAAAGACTAAGCTAGTTTCACAAATAGGTAGATTTAGGTGGTGGGAGGTTGGGTGGATTAACTTTTTCTATGGACATGGCTTGGTAAAAATAGCATTTCAAAATGTCGGCTGATGTCACCGCTTCTTTCTGCACAATCAGCTGACGCAATGCTGTTCATCTCTAACTAGTCGACTCAGATTGTTTATTTATAGCATCTAACGGGTAACGATAGAAACCTTTGTGTTAGTAAACAATGCCGTTGCATTATTAGACCGCTCCGTAACTAGAATACGTAAGCTTCTCTGAAATGGATGACGAACAGAGTACTTTGTACAGTAGTATCAAGCGATGACATTGGTAAAGTACTAATTTTATTCGACAAAAACCGAAGACTCCCCACCTTTCGCTGTCCATACTTACCAAGATAACGTTTTTATGAGAGGTGTTGTAGCAGTGCCGTTGCAGTGCCTTCCAGCAGTGCCCTAACTTATTTGCAGCTGACATAAATGTAAAAGGCTCCATCCCGTCGCAGGAAACAAACCCGTATGATCCTTCCAAGACAGTCAAATAGACAGACTGGACCATGATACCGCGGGCACGTAACGTCACACCTCTACAGTTGTAGCAATGACATTCTTCCCTAGCAATCGCGCTGGTGCCATGTGTTTTTCTATTGACGTCGCAGTGCTTCAGCCACAATGCGGCACTGAGCACACTCAAGGCCGGTAGTAACAAGCACCAGGCCTACAAGATCCTGGTCGTGAGACAAGCGCTTTACCACTGGCTTATACAGCGATTGTTCATTTCGAGTATGGAATCTTATCGCAGTCAGCCAGTATGTGTAATGCGCATACGCGGTCTTACGTCAAAACGGAGCAGCGCGGCAAGGGAGTGCCCGTCAGGTCGTGAAGGTCACAGCCCGGATATTCACCAATGAGATAGTCTGGACTGATCATGGCAGCGCACTGAAGTAGCTGATTTGACGCAATAAAACCGCCTGCACACGCCATTAAATGAGGTTGAAACATGGGATGCGACTCGTCAAGTGCTACAGAGCCCTGGCATGTTTCAGCGAAGTAATCCCGCCGGTGACTTCGGTCGTTAAATGAAGGAATCGCCTGCAGAGATACCGCTGCGATTCCCTGGCATTTGATAGCCGAACAGAGAGAAGCTTCCGATGATCGCACTCAGCCCACAGCCGCATCCAACAGCGCGGGCTGACCTCGCGGGAAACAAACGACGCCCTGCTATCCGGTATGTGTGCGTGCGTGCGTGCGTGCGTGCGTGCGTGCGTGCGTGCGTGCGTGCGTGCGTGCGTGCGTGCATGCATGTGTGTGTGTGTGCATGTGTATGTGTGTGTGTGTGATTGAAGACAGCGAACCTGATGTGTGGCTAAGGGTCGGATAGAGCACGCTGGACCTTAGTCCAGCGTGGGCTTCCGCCGCAAGTCTTCTCATTTCTCACAGGATCTTGTCCCCCGGGTAAGGGCCGCATAGATGACGGCCGCATTTCCCTGAAAGACTAAAAAGCTGCTCAATAAATAGGCTCCAAATGCCCGTGTTATCCTGCAATGGCCGGATACGGGCTAATGCGCCCTGTTTCATACGTGTCAATAAGCCTAAAGTTTGAAGAATAGTCAGATGCCCTTCGTCTGACATATTATGTGAGCTGTGGACAGTGCTGATGCACCTGAGTGATACCTCGACTGCTACAACTGGACCTGGCTGTGCACAGGGCTCATGTACCTGGGCAGCCCATCAACTGCTGATATTAAGCCATCAGTTATCACACTGAGCCTGTGCGACAATGTATAACCCTGGGCACAGACCGTCCCGAAATTCAGCAGCGTAAGGCAACTTATTGTCTGAACCAGGAGGTAACCACACCGCAGACGGACCATGCATGGACAAATCGCTTTTCATTAATCCCACTTCAGCCGTATGGCCGCTAGGCTAAGTGCATTAGCTGCGCCAAGCGCATTAGCCGCGTGTTTGTTGCGCCCCAGCCGCGCGCAGCGGACTGGATCCGGGCGTGGATGCCGGACCGTAAGAGACCGCTTCCTGCCCGCACCGGCGCTCGCACCCCGCTTCCTGCCGGGCCTGGCTCCCCTCGCACGCGCCGCGCCACGCCGCCGTCGGTACAACATCGGTCTGCGACGCCAGTGTGCGCGGCGGCGGCACAACAGCCGCCCCCGGCGCCGCCGCCACACAATGCGGACAGTCGCGCGGACGCCTCGGTGTTCGGCGGACCGCTACTGCCTGGTGGGCAGGACTGGCGGGGGCGGTGCGCCGCTGCCGCGTCATTCTCGCCGCCGACGACAGGTGGAGAGGACAGGTGATAGAGGCTCGGTGACTCTCAGAAGGCGCGGCGCCGGCGTCAGCGGCGTGACGTGCAGCGGAGAGGTCATGCTGATGCTGGTGTTGGTGTGTGACCAATGTTCCATGAGCCCGGGAAGACGCACAGACACATCATCATGTATCCGCGCCAGAATGCTGACATTTCGGAATAAAGCAGACTAATCGGATAGCCTTAACTTAGCCAGGGACTTTAATGGTTCCCTTCTCGACGTGCATGCACACGATGGACGTTTTTTGGGAGAGGGTGTTGCATTCATTTTCCCACCGCCGTAAGTCTTCCCATTTCCCCGAAAGCGTCTTGACTGCATCGGAAGTACAGCTTACTTAGGACGGCAAGACCCAGCAGGGCATAGAATACTAAGCGATCATCGGGTGAGGGAAACAAGCATCGTGGTGGAGCGAAATACCTTTACGATGACTGAATCACCGAAACAGTTACCAGCGTCAAATCACGTTAAACAAGTGGGTTGGACGGCATAGTCTCTTCTCTCCAGTTTGCTGCCGCGAGACCGCGCCATTTCAGAGCTGCGAGCTTCTTGCGCCCGCGCGTACCTGCTAGTAAGTTGGCACGGGGTTTGCCGAACTAGTCGTGATAGAATTGCATGTGTTACAACCGAGGCACCGGTACTGAGACGAATGGGTACACCACGCGAACGCGAGAGGCGCGTGCGGGGAGATGGGAGCCCTATGCCCGCTGCATAAGGAGCGAGAGCGGGCCTGAGGCGTCCGAGTTAAACACAACCCTGGGATATTGGGCTTGAAAGTCGAACAGCTGGCAAAAAAAGATGCTTCAAAAACCAGCAAAATAAGTTGTGAAATCCAATGCATCGAAAACAAATAATAATTCGAGAAGTCAAATCAACCCTCTTTGGTGACTAGCTGAGGCATCATTAAACAAACGAGTGCGCTGGTCCGGTGGTAGCGCCCGCTGGTTCTCAGGTGGTGGGTTCTCAGGTTCTCAGGTGGTCTGTCCTTGCTTGGGCACTGCCACAAATACCGTTTGTGACGACGTGCTCCACATCCCTTTTGAATCATCAGAAGAACGTCACTAAGTTTTGGTCTTTAACTAACTCAGATCGGCTTACCCATTCATTCATTCTCACCATCGCGCTCTTTAAGTGTGGTTGTGTACGTGCATCTAATCAGAAGCCACGTACCTGCATACATTATCTTGAAACAGTGCCGAGAAAAACCGGAAAAACTGAGTATGCTATGTTTTACGCATGCCTCGAATGTGTTGCAGCCATTTACGGTTGCATTTCATGCCGTCGTCAGTTTTCAACATCCGGCTGGTTTTGAATCCAACTAGGTCCTCCAAAGGCGACTTCTTGTAACACAAATATGTCTCCTATCTCGTAAAGAGGAGTTTTTCACTTGAGCTTGAAAGCAATGAACGATTAATACGCGATAATTGATGTAGTAGTCGTTTTTATATGACGCAATCATGCAACAAACACTGATTACAGGAACATGTGCACGATGATGCACTAAAACAAACAAAACTGCATCCATAATTTTGATAATTCATCATTGAACCGGTTGATCTGGAGAAACTACACATTCATATATCCATTTGGCCCTGAACGACACATGGAGACGACTGAATTCTGCTTGCTGATATGAATGGCTTTGAATGAATGGCTTTGGATAACTGAATGGCTTTGAACTAAACAGGACCAGCCTATATGGATCATCAAACCGAATGCATTAATTGAATTGATATATTTATATTGATGGTTCTAGCACAGGAAGGTGAAATTATCGTGTGTAACAAATACACTAGGTGGGTTCTGGGGCGGGAACGTTTGGATCTGAGCATAAACACCACTGCCCAGCATACAAATGGACATTATACTACAACTAGACAATACTACAACCAGGAAATAACCTACAAATCATGGGATATGTAATTTTTAACCGTTTTTTGTCTGGATTCGCGGCTATCATTCGCATCACTTTTATGCTATTTCATCAATAAAATTACATCCCCAGCAACCAGACCCTCAACCCTCATGCCTCAGCAAGACCCCTTTTCTCATCCGCCACCGCAAGCACGGCAAAGACCTGCTAACGTACCGACTCCCAGCCTGCCGTCCTCCCTCTTCTTCCACATGGTGACCATCCACGCCACTACGAGAGCGCACACAACCGCATGTCAGTGCTGCAGCCGCGCGCGTCACACCGCGCTCCTCTCGTCAGCGCGACCGCACGCGCGTCACACAGCACCTCCGCGGCCGGAGTCCGGCGCTCGACTGGCGGGCGCTGCTGCGCCGGTGGCTGAGCCTCCGCCGCTGCCGCCGCCACCGCACGGCCCGGCCGGACCCAGGCCGCCGCCGGCCCTGGTGCTGGTGATGGTGATGGCGGGGCTGCTGATGCCAGCGCCGCCAGCAGTGCCACAGACGTGGGGTGAGTGGGAACCTATGTGAGGTTGCTATGGCTGTGGGTGTACATTGTCGTGTCTTGAGAGGGATTTTGTACTGATGGTAAAAACAATTTCGAGCTCAGATCCTTCAAAAGGGAACACTTGCGTTCGGAACACGTTGGTGTTTCCTTTGGACATGTGTCTTCCAAACTATCGAATTGCACCGAACAGCCGGAGACTCATCTTCTCCTGCCTGATGCAGTGATGGAGAGACAATAACTAGCAGTTAAGTTATGTTTAGCATGAGGGTTACGCTACACTGGGCGTTCCATATGTTGTCCACGCGGAGGTAACACTGTTGTGCTTAGTATATGTGTTTACACGTAGAACAAACAGTAGCTGTGAATAGGACAACTGAAGGCTTATGAAAAAAGCGTGTCGCAAGGCATGCTCCAGTAGACCGGGAAAAAGGCAGCCACCGCAAAGGTTTCTGGAAGGGCTTTATTACCGCTTCTCAAGCATGCACATCACGGACCATTCCTGTTTTTAATCTACATGTTGCACGAACGAGGGCGCGTCAGGAATATAATTCATTTCTCAGAATGGGATGTCCAGCTGATAACTTGGTGTCATGTGGATAGAAACACAGATACTGGGATAAAACCACTTTGCTTTTGTCAGACTTTGTCAGTCAGATTTTGACCGCGCTGCACAGCTCGAAGAAGCCTTAAAATAGAGTGCAGATTGTTTCATGAAGGCTGAACCTTAAACGCGTCTTGAACGGTGGGAGTCTAGCAGTGCAAAAAAAAAATTCCTGGAACTTTCATTGCGTGCTTTCACAACTGCGCCAATTTAGAATTACGGTCAGCGAGTGCAGCCAGCTGGATCAGCTTAAGAGCTCTTCTACCTATTTTTGGAAGCATGACGACTGTTTATCAGATGAGACGGAAGCAAGGTGATGGGCAATGAAAAACGATCACGGTTAGCAATATCAAAGCTTTTCAGAAATGCACCATTCCAGCGCAAATGCCATTTATCACCAAGCGCTGCAGTTGAGTGGCCACTACGAGTTCGAAATTCGAAAAAGTTTCTACAAATTCCAATGGTATCCTCTTCAGAATAGCCGTGAGGGAGCTGTTAAATGCTTCGGTTCGTGACCAAACTGTTTTCCACAGATCGAAAAGCACTGAGGCGAAATGTTGCGCTACAGGCACGAGCTAATACAAAAAGGACATCCCAGCAGAAGAAAGCAGGGAGAGTTGCAATCGTTTTTGCTTTGAGCTTTCTCCTGCTAGAACTAGTGAGGATGTGACTAAGATTCATATATTCTCAAGCAAGCATCTCAGATTGGTCTAGCTAGGTCAGAAGCCCTCAAACACACATTTACACTGATTGCTATGGTTCTCAAGGATACGCAAAAACATATGTGTGTCGCGCTGATCCCAAGACGCCTGCACATATGCGGCCGGAATTGCACTGACAGGTAGCGAGAGCTGCTGTGCGTCAACTGAGTGCCCCAAGACTGCCGTCCATGGCAAAACTTGGAATAAATAACCCCAATATTTCTGAGACATGATGTAACTCACCACAGACTACCCTCCCCTTATTTGGTAAAAAGTGCGTTCATGAATAATTTGTATGAGCAAAAGTTCGCCAGACCAAAATTTCGCATGGAAAATCTATACGAATTGACGTTGGCCAATGGTCATAAGCAAATGCATTTACGTAGAGGTCCGAACCGAATAAAGTTCGCTTGACAAAAGTACGGACACAAAATTCGTAACCATCGAGCATACACCGACAAGTTTGCATGTATGTTACTCTTATGTGAAGTGCTCCAGGACACATCGAATGCCCGGGTTCCAAATTGTGCGCCGTCTGCTGTCAGGTTTGGCACTTACATCTTATCTCCACAGGGTGATCTAACGTAATGAATTTGTGTAATTTATAAATCTATTCGGGTAGCGTAAAAGTGATAGCTTCCGGCTTTGCTTGGTCGGGGGCGAATAAGGTCCTGATCGAAGCGGGTGTGGTGGGTGCATCTTTCTCCTCTGAACTCCGTTTTAGTATGCATAAACAATCGTAAGCCGGATGTGCTTTGCGCGTCTGGCTGCCGTATTCTACATGCGAGATTGCTCCTACCGCAGCCGTTACCTGGTGTCGGTCAGCAGGCGTCACGCAAGCGTGGTAGTGTTAACAGAGGTCCGTCACGGTGAGGAATAAATGAGACGACAACGTTGGGTGATCTGCGATTGCTTAAAGTTTTTTTTTTTAACTCCCGTTCCTTCATTACAGAGATATTTTGCAATATTTCCACTGGCTTGCGTTTATTGCTTTGCGCTGGAAGGCATTCGACTTCATGCCACGAAGAGTTAGGCTTGTCATAGTGTTTTACCTAAGCAGTGCAATTGTCGCTCTATACCGCCATCTCGCATCCCAACGTTCCCGGCCGACGGGACGTGGTGGCCCAGCAATGGCCATTCATACAACGCCCGGAACCAAAGATCTGCATTCTAACTTACATCCAGGGGTGGTAAAACCTGCCGACTTGGTGGATAAGGTCGGCGACAAACATGCATCTATGCACGCGTAGCTTGGTGCCAAAAAAGTTTTTGGATAACAAATTTTGGTGACGGCCTAGACGAAAAAATACAGCACACTGCGCAAAACGTAACATGAGGTCTCCATACATAGATATTATGCTTCCATGGTGCTATATTTTGTCACACATCACAAGCAAATGTTTCTGTAAAGGCTCTTTACCGTACTCTACGGCACCCTGGTATCTTTTATAGGTTTCATTCCAACCCGGCGTCAAGAAAACCCGATGATTTTTAGTGGGTCGGCCGACCCGGATTATAGGTCGGCGACAAATCAGTGTATTTCCTATTGCCCGGCCGGTCACCCGGTTTACTGTTTGTGACAGCCGACTCTCAGTGTCCCAAACTAGACAATATAAAGTACTGAAAAATATCTAGATAGGGGATTCATCTGGCCGTAAGGGCGTGCTTCAATTGATGCGATGCGACTGATATGAGGTGGGCGGTGACTTTCAGTGCCGTGCAACTTCGCAAATGGCATTCGCATTGCAGGGTCACGAATACCTTCCTAGGGCTTAATTCTTGGCCTTGTTTTCTTCGTTGGCTGTGCCGTGATTCAGCATTCTGTCCTCAGCGACGAGAGGCATTGACAGTTCAGGGTAAGTCGGCGGTATGATGCGATCAAGGTAGAAGTTGATCTGTGATCATCCAAAATGCCTTTTCAAGACAGCGAAGAGGCTGTTGACGCACTAAAGCAGTCACAAGCGACCAGCCTTCTTCCCGTTAAACCGTGGATTTGATGTTGAAGCCTGATGACATCCCTCATGAAGGGGAATAACAGGAGGTGATCATTGTTCTAAAATACTAATTTATGCCATTTTCGCGCTTGTCCTGATTGAGAGTGGTTACCAGTCACGTAGATCTTCAGATCAGGGGTGTTCCTTTTTATCATTCTGTTCAGGACTGCATCTCTCTCCCTAAGTTTGTGAAGAAGTGTGCTAATCTGGGAGACATCCATATTTTGCATAATTACATTGTACATGACATACATCGCATAACTTTTCACTGCTCCCTAACCTATCTTCAAAAACTATGCCCTCACTTGAAATGAAACTACTTCATCCATGTTTTGATAGCTTTTATACAAATATTCACAGCCCAACTTGTTGTTAACATGAATCTTGGTTGCTAAAAATTTATGGGATACCCAATAATGTAGGCGATGAGAAGACAATGAAAGTGAGGAGCGGAGTGGTATAGGAAATGTAGGCAATGAGGAGGGGTGAGGCACAGGTTTTATTGCCGTCTCCCCCTTCACCAAGAGCTTTACTTCAAATAGCAGGTGGTTTTATGGTATTGCGGTCCAACTGTCCTATGAGGTTAGCGAGAGGTTGGCATTTGGTTGTCTCTGAGGACAATGTTGGCTATTTACTGATGATAGCACCCACCCCGGAAACAGGAGAGCTCTGGACGTCATTCATTCTGCAGTGCTCACTCATGTGCATATGGCCTTTGCACTTATGAGCAGGGGATTGCATGGATGCAAATAGGGTATTTTTCATTACTGTTTTTGCTGACATTGAATTGTAAAGTTATCCTGATGGATCCATTAGCATAATCACTGCATACATTTAAGTACCGGCTGCGAAGGCAGACGGCCTTCCTTGCATGCAGCCTACATGGGTAGTAGAAATCAGTATAGTTTGTGTGGTGGTGGCATAGTGACAGGAGTACCATTTGTGCAAGATCTGTGCAAGACTGCACAATATGCCGCATTGGTGTCGTCAAAAAACAGCAGGGATGTGTCACATCGCCCACCCCCTCCTGTCAGGGCGAGTAACTTGTTCAGAAAGAGCTATCGGCCTGATGTGAAGTTACTGACAAATTTCGATATTATTTACTTGTTGGGGCACGGCGAAAGGCGCCCACCATTCAAAACATGTCGCGCCAGGATTGGAGCATGCCAAAGGTATGGTGGATAGTTTTGTGACGGTTGAGGTGGGGCTCGAAGCGCAAGCGTAATTTTCGTAAGCGGGCATGGTCTTGTGGAGGCCCCCATATTTGACGTCATTTCCAGTGCCGCTTACTACTGGTTTATAATCTGACATGCATTTTGCTACCCTGATTATAGAGGCCCTTCGTTGTTGTTTGTTTGCGGTCAAGGAAAGGAAATCCAGCCGTGGATCGAGTTTAAAGGTGAGGCCCCGGTAAGTCCCGAGGGTGAAAAAAAGCTCCCGTTGTGACTGGGCTATCTCATCAGTCTAGGGCAAGTCTGCTGCTTTCCAAGCAGCAGCTTTTGGACAAGCAGACATTTGATCAAGGGCAGTGTATG